AGGCTCAACAAGAACAAGCTATCAGGGCTGCCAAGGAAGCAAAAAAGACTAAGCCAGTGTCTAAAAAGACAGCAATGGTTGCTGCTAAGGCTCCCACAAAGGCAGCACCTAACCAAAAGCCTATGAAGCTTGTAAAGGTTTCTGCTCCCTGTGTTGATAGAAAAGATTAAGTTGGCAGATCAGATCTTTAAATAAAGACCTGACTATAAAAAATAAAAAAATAAAGATGAGGTCATGCTGGACTAAGAGCCCTTAATCCAAAGACTGATGTCCTTGAGAATGAATTTCTGTTGGTTAAGCACCCAGTTTATGGCAACCCTGTTGTCTGACACTTGAGTAAAATGAGGTACTAAATGATTTCTAAAATAAAATTTAGCTCTAAGATTTGTGGATTTTATGAATAGTAATTAGCAAGGGAGTGAAGTTAGGTATAATATAGGATTTGGAGAACCTGGAGATAATTCCTAAGGCAGGTTTTATTCCTTAAAGGTAAAATACTCTAAGAAAAACTCTAGTATTTCATCAATGCTAGCCAAACCCTTGGAGCAAAAAATAAGACACATTTGATTCATCAAATAATTCATCGCTCATTAAACTTTTGCCACCCAACCTGAAAAAACAGAAAATTGTATTAGAGTGGTTAGATGTCTTACTGTTTAATAACTATTACACTTTTAAAAGTCACGTACTGATAATGAAGTTACATTAGCCTTTTAGGACATCTTTAAATACAAATTGCATTAACCCAGATATCTCGGTTAGCTCATCAAGTGTAATAAAATTATTACTGCCAGAGCCACAATTCCATGGACATGAAAATTATATTTTTCCTAATACTATAAAGAATGATGCTTGGAAGTCCTGTAATAATTGAATCAGAGAAATTACCTTTTTATCTGTATTTTTTAGATGGATTATAATATAAGTGGCATTTAGCAGAAAAAAATCCATCCAAATTTTAATTTATAAAAATAGCAGTCAAATATTCTAAGGAAATTGCTGATAGCCAAGTCCTGGGTCATGCATGGGAAGAACACATCCCAGCACCACAGCATTCAGGCCCTGAACAGACCCTGCTACTTACATGTGGTGAGACATGGGGCTACTACTTGCTTCCTCTTTGAGCTTTGGGGTTCCAAGTCTGTTAAAGAGCAGAAAGGAAAAAACTAGTTCATTTCCAAAATCCTTTCAAACTCTAAACTACTGTTGTCTGTGTACATTTTATTTATTCCTTTGCATATTTTTATTGGCACAGAATTTCAGAGTTGGGCTTTCATCCTTTTTTAAGCTAATAAATGTCTCACTGATCGCTCAGTCCCTCTACCTGCCAAACAGGCCAGGCAGTTTGGGGCTGGAGGAAGGCGGTTTGTTGAAGCAGCTTCCTGCCATTGGTGCCCACAGACAGCTGGCAAAGACTGTTCTTTGCACAAAGATGCCCAGACCAGGAGACAAGGAAGCCTGAACTCCAAACTGAGCTCCATTTGTCAAGCTGCGCACCCATGAGGTTGCATCACTCAGAGGCAGCACCTTTTCCTAACTCACACAAAGGCACCAGAGGCTTGTGACAGCCCTGTTCCTACTTACTGGATTTAATAGTTCCTTTGGGAGGTTGCCAGAGGTTCAGAGAAAGCAGTTAAAGAATATATTCTGCATTATTGCAATCACTTTATTAGTTTATTATCACTGTTCTTAAAAATGAGTGAAGAGCCTTCATGCACAAGAATCTAGGGAGCTCTCAGACCAAACACACTGGCTATATGATTTCAAAATTCTACTTGGTCTTATATCACCATACTCCAAACATGACAACAGTCTAAGTTGCTAGTTGAAGTTTAAATTATTTGGCGTAAATGGTTGTGATTTGTTCTATAATCATATCATTCTGATTAGGGTGCGTATCAGTTCAACCTCAGCTCAGGTTTCTGAAATTTGCTTGCTCCCACACTATGCAATTAGTAGGAGCTTGAAGTTAGAACAACAAAGATAAAAGGCAGGCAAGATCCAGCTCCCGTGCAGGTGGGCAACTTCTAGGGTGGATGGTCCCCATCTCAAACTGCTCCTGAGCCACCTGGACTCCAGGCCATAAGCAGACCAGACCCATTGGGTCCAAGCTACTGGCTGAGTGAATTCCCTGAATCTCTAAGAAATTTGAATTCTTATGATCTGGCAAGAAATCAGTCCTTGTAAACACTACCTCTATTGTTGGTTGTTCCTGGCACTTGGAGTCTGATCAGACTGAAGTCTCTAGAATCCTGCCAAATCTTGTCCTTCCTCTTTTCTTAAGGTCCAAAATGGATTTACTATAAAGGCAGTAAAGTTTAAGATGTAAATATACAAATAAATGTCTCAGAAATAAGTGAAATTACTACTCAAGACTGGAAAGGTTTTAAGATTTCCATTTTATTAAAAATATAGTAACACAATAGCAGCATCATTTGATAAATCTTTTCTAGTACCATTTAGTAGTCCTACTCACATAAACACACACCACCTATGCAGCATCTTCCTGCTTACATTTTAAACTCTTCCCTTGATAATTCATAGCATTATGTAAAGAACACTATGTGTTAACCTAATTAAGATTAAGGAGAGTACTATTTAACCATTAAACTGAACTATCTATACAATTACACAGTATACCAAAATGTGAATCTCCTGTGGAAATCAGGGAATTCTGTAGATTGTTCCCCAACATTTTTCTGCCTACCCGTAACCTTAAGTTGGTAGAACTAAATCTCAACTATAATTCTTTCAGTGTGATTTTCATGAATTTGAACTTAATATACAGGGTGTCCCACCTCCCAAATGTGTATACACTTTGAATAATTATTAATTCCAATGGGTTAAATCTGAAAAGAAAGAAAGATTAATTGAGCTATCAGCTATTAAGTTGTGTATACATTTTTGGGGGATACCCTGTAGTTAAGAAAATATCTATCTAGCAAATAAATGTTAATCAAGAATGAAGGGAACTATTCATTCCAGTCCTGGGAAAATAAATATTTACTGTAAAATATGTGAAGCTTCCCAAAAGGTGGCAATTTTCAAAGTTAAAATGTTAGCTAGATACAAGTAAATTTAACAATCAGGCAACAGGCTACAAATCTGCTTTTAAAAATAATATATTAAGGAATATTGTATTAGATATAAACTAATAATTATAAATTAATTGCCAGGAACCATAAAATTACCCAAAAGTGAAATGGAAAAAAAAAACCTATTCTTTATTAAATCCAACTTAACAGAATATGGACCAAAAGTCATTAATAGCTTTAGCTTTTATTTTTAAAATAATGTATCAGTCTTTAAGCAGAATCATCAATAAAAATGTACTAAGAGAAACAAATTAACCCACAAATCCAAGATTAAGTAGGGAAGTCCATTATATTTTAAAGTATTAATGTATTACATTTATACTGGACTCTTGCTTCCAGAAGTACAATTTAGCCCTTTTAGGGGCACTAACTTTTGAAATCTGAAAATAAACAATTCAATTTAAATGAATATTACATTAGCAAATAAACATAAGGAAGTACTAAGTATATTAAGTAGCAAAGATTTAAAAGAAATTAAACATGTAGGAAACATAATTACTTTGTTGAAATGACTCTATTTCATGGCCAAGTTAAATTCAGATACTATCTTGTGAAAATATAAAAAATGACTAATTGAAATGTTAAGTTTTTCAATGCATCCCTCCAAAAGGACTCATTCTAATTGCTATTCCAACTACTAAAGATTTAAATCAAACCATCTCTAATAAATTTTTAAACTTTTAAAAGCCTATTACTATATATATGTACTAAGTACATATATATTACTATATATATGTACTATATATATACATATACATATACATATATATATATCCCTTAAATATGAACATTATCTTCAGTTGAAAAATTTGGGTCATTTTTGTTTTTTTTTAAGTTTTAAATAAAAATAGCGACATATATAGGAATAAATGGGGTCATGAAAATGACTAATATCACAAGATATTTTGACAAAATATTAATTCTAAATGTGTTATTTTTGAGTATGCCAAAATTTAAGCCTCTGACACTTCTGAAGATCAACATAACATGCATTTTACCTCTTGAAAAAGTAATTCTAAACAGAAAATCACAAGCTGACTAGTGTTTGCAATTATAAGTTAGATTAGATGGAAAATAACTAAGGAGATGGTTACAGAAGTGAAGATTTATACTTGTTTTCTCACATGAAACTGGCTATCTTATGAAGAGCCATCTTATATTATTACCTTTTCAGTGTGCAGTGCTGGACAGAAAGAACAAGAGGACCAACAGAATTTGTCCAGAATGATGAAGAGCAATTACAATTTAAGGAACAGAGTGTATGTACTCTCCATATGATCAAACAAAAAAAGGTATTTTACAGGAGCTTTCAAGTATAAAATGACTATCATCTCGGCCTTACCTCAAGTTTTTCTGACAATATCTACCTGGGATGAACAAGAATAATCTTAAAGAAAAAAAACAAAATTCCTTGAGAAAATAATAAACAAATGGAAACATTTCAGCTCTCATACGTGAACAAGAAGAACCCCCCCCTTTCTCTCTCTCTCTCGCTCTCTCTCTCGCTCTCTCTCTTTCACACACACACACACACACACACACACACACACACACACACACCAATTATCTATAGGCCTAGACAGCTTTCCTTACATAAGCTCTAATTTAAGAAAATTATTTCACTTTCTCCAAATCTCTTGTATTCCTACTTATGCCTAACTTACAAATCAGTCTTTCATTATTTTAAAGCTGAATAAATATAGGCCAGAAAAATAATTAGTAGCAGGACCCAAATTAAATATGCTAATTATAACATAACAAACATTTAATAGAGCCCAGAACATAAGAAAACACTCAAACTTTAAATGATTGTTTTATAGACACAACACCAAACATGCACGCTCCATGTCAAAACAACTTCTATGGAAACTAAAAAAATAACAAAATAAAACTAAGATGCTGTTTTGAAATGCATAACAAATACTTTCCTCTAAAATACTTAGCTTTATTAAGAAATGGTACTAAAAATAACAGAGTCAAACATTTGCTCTATTCTACTTACATATCATAAATAAGACAGCTGTTGATGCAAGATATACGTACTCCTTCACGATCTTTCCATAGTCACCATACAAGCATTCTTGTATCAGAATAAGCTGTTTACCAGCCAACCGTATGTGGTTGAAAGATTAAAATGACCATCTATACTTTACATAGTAAAGCATTTTCAAAAAATTTAATGTACACAGTGACAAAAAGGGAAAAAATACCACAGTAATTCTGGACACATGAGGTGGAATTAAGCAGCTTCATAATCAAACCAGGCTTCATTATTTGCAATAAGGGCAATTCTTTCCATTCCCCACCCAATATTTAAGTTTCAATAGTATTAACCTTAAAAGACAACTCAAGTTGAAACCAAATAACTGATGTGCTACTCAGCTTTGAACTCTATAAGTAACTCTTCCCGTGAGGTAAGGCAACTGAGTAATCTGATTGTATTATATTGTATTAAAATAATTATACTTGATTTTTTAATAATATGCTAATTAAAAGGTATATCTTTTTTGGAAATATAACAATAATGAAATGAGTTCTGAAACTATGAGTTATGGTTTAGAGTGGTGGGGAAATATTAGCAATGTTGTCATTTTACTGCTTGCATACTTTCTACAAAAAGTGAACCTAAGAATGATGGATGACCTATATTTTAAATCAAGTAAACAAATCCTTAAAAATAAAACAACCTCACGTATTCTCCTTTAAGTTCAATTTCTACACATCATTTATGAGAAGATGATTGAGAGGTAATAATTAAGGCCATCCCATATAGACAACTAAAGGATTTGCTTTAAGTAAATTAAGAACATGCTTCATTTTCAATGATCACAGTATAAAACTGATGGTCCCAAAACTGCACTGTTGTTTTAAGCTCTAAAGTCATTCTTGAAAACAGGACTTCCCTCTCATATTAGGTGAACTAAGTAAGTAAGAGGCTCTTTTGACATATCACTTGCACACTTCTCTATGGGAGTGAATAGAATATCCATCTAAATTCCGTATGAGCTGAGAATGACTAGTACATATAAAACTCTAGAAAACAGTATACCACATTGTAGAAGGCACTAAAGCTTCAGCTTGTGCTCCCATAGCCCGCTTTGAAAACCCAAGTTTTCTTTTTATATTGATACCTTTGCCATCTACTGCTGACAATACACACTACAATATTATTCATAATAAGCTTGGAAATGTCAAGAAAGTTAAAAAAGAAGTGCTTACTTTGTGGGGAAACCCAATGATTCTAAACACTGAATACTAATACATTATTATTAGTATTCAAAACAGTTGTTCTTCCTTTTGAAAGAGAACAGTAGTAGCATGCATTGTCAGTTGTTTTTTTTAATCCACTTATTTAAGGAATTTGAATCTGTGAAAGTATTGTAAAGAAAAACTTGTCCTAAACAGTGAGAAAAAGAAACACAATAGTGAGAATTTAACACAATCACTATAAATCCTGTGGAGTTAAGTGTTAAAACTTCTTACATATTCTGCACTTACAAGGGTGGGTATATATTTGCACCGATTTCAAGCACATCATCAATCTGTGTATGTTGAAATTAAAAAAAAAGTAAAACAATACAAAATTCAGTAACTAACACTTTTTAAAAGAGCCTTCAATGTTTATCTCCAGTCTTTGAGGAGAATACAAATTTGGATCTTTGATGTCCCATTTATTTGTAATGGTTCTTGGCAAACACTAACAAACCACAGGACAAGTGTGCCAGCCACCATGGAAATACACAGATTTTAGAAGATGAGTTTGGGTAACATCAGTTATCTTCATGATGTCCATGCTTTCTTTTCTTACTCACTAACAAGATGGCCACAAAGCCACCTAACAACTAGAAAAGCTGTTAGCTTATCTCTTTATGCTCAAATGGATTCTTCATTATTTAACATCTTGTTAAGAGTAATTAAAAGCTTTGGATTTTATTCCAGCGTGCATTTAGAGGTGCACTTGTCAGTCTTACACGGCTTCTGTTTTGGTAGAAAGGTTTTCTTCATTTGGCTGACAATTCCCATTTTGCTGTACTTGGTTTTCCTCAGTCCTTGGTGCATCCTTGTCATCTGCTTCTTTGCTCACACCTGATTCTGGTTCTTTATTGTGCTCCTTCTCCTACAATGAGTATTAAGGGATACATTTAATATTTTTCTCAAGAGTTGCCTGTTACTACATCTGCTTATGGCTAAAATATGTAACTTTATTTTTTTGAGAATTAATAAAACTGGGTTTTCTCCCATTACCATTTCATATAAATAGGTTAAACAAATATGTATCCATGTGTGTTTTGCACTTCTCATAAAAGATGGGCAACCCATCGAAATTAAATTAGAAAAAAATAGATCAACAGAAATTTTAAGGAAGTGTTCAGTAAGTGTTGTTCACTAACTTCAAAAAATGTGACAGACCTGTGGAAAGAGTAAAATAGTTGCCAAAGACACCAGGATAGATTTGTAATCTGGAAACCAAGGAAGCAAAAGTAAGGGAATGGAGAAAAGCCAGTCACTATTCCTCCTAACAAAGACTGTTCAAGAACGTCCATGTTTTGCCCTCAGCTTAAGTGAGGATTAAATGAGAACATGAGAGTGCTTGACACATAGTAAGTGCTCAAGAAATACATGTTATTGACAATAACAAACTTCTACTAGTATGAGTAAATAAAACTGTATGATAAAAGCTCTAGAACTCATAATGATGTTCAAATACAAATTATACCAATATAACATAATTCATAAATTCTTAAAATATAGGTTGGGTCTGCCCTCTGCCACCCGGGAACAGGCCTAAGCCAGCAGGTCGTTATCTCCCAAGGGGTCCAAGACTGTGAGAGGGCACAGGCCGGGCTGAGGGACCTTCCCCCCTTCCCGCCCCCCGCCCAGTGCACAAATTTTTGTGCACCGGGCCTCTAGTAATTCATAAATTCTTAAAATATTCATCCCAAAACCCTTAATTGCTAGAATTTGGTTTTCTGTTAATTATCTAATTCAACAAACCTAATTTCAGTATATATTACAAAACCAATAATGACAGAACATCTGTCAAATTTGTTGAAACAAAATACTGAGGAAAATGGCATCAAGTAGAAATCTGAATATAAATATCAAATACATTTGTTACATGTACCGTAAATAGTCTAAAATCTTTCTTACTATATGCCATCCCATGATTCTCTAAAATAGAGAATGTGGTTGTTTAACTTTTAATTAGCTCTTATCTATCTATCCCTTCAAAATTTAGTTTTAAAAACTGTCAATTTAACAAATACAAAAGAATACCAAAAACATACAAGACACTGTTGCCCTCAAGGACCTTTTAGCCTAAAACTACTTCTATGCAATAAAGAACAATCTCAGTTATTAATTATTAAAAGTCGAAACACTGAATGACCATTGCTTACTTTAAGTGAAGTATTGTTCTTCTCCAATTTTTCTTTCCCATCTCTGTCATTAGAATTCTTTCTTGTAGAGGTTGAACGTTCTCTCTCTCTTCTTTCACTAATATGGTCCCTTTCTTTTTCTCTCTTTTTATCTTTCTTATTTCTACTATAAGAATATTAATAATAATAAAAAAAGAATATTAATAATATGTCAGTTAACTTCTAAGAAATGAAAGACCTGATCTATTGTTGACAAAATGTTACCTAACACTAAAGCATATCAGTAAATAAGCATATCAGTAATCTAGTTTGATCAAGTAACATAAATGAGACCTATGATGCCACCTACTCTACCCACACTCCAATTAACTTTTAATTTAACTTTTATATTTTTAAGAATAGTTTTTACTGATTTTTAGAGAGAGAGAAAGAAGGAAGAGAGAAACATCGATGTAAGAGTGCAAACATTGATCAGCTGCCTCCTGCATGCCCCTGACCAGGAATTGAAACAGCAACCTTTCAGTGCATTGGATAATGCCCAACCAACTGAATCACACCAGCCAGGTGTTCACATAAAACAAAATTTAGTACTGTCAATTTATTAGTTCTGAAATATTTGAGAATTTACCTAGCTACTATAATTAGATAAAATGAAACCAAATACATATATATATATATATATAGAGAGAGAGAGAGAGAGAGAGAGAGAGAGAGAGAGAGAGAGAGAAACTGCTAATGGGTATGGGCTTTCTTAAAAATGACAAAAAAATGTTCTAGAATTAAGTAGTAGTGATGGTTACAGAACATTGTAAGCATATTTAAAAAAACACTCACAATTGCACATATAAAAGGTTGAATTTTATTGTAAGTGAATTATTTCTCATTTTTTAAAAAATAACTTGGGTGAAGGTGGGGTTGAGTAGTAACTGACCATACACACACACACACACACACACACACACACACACACTCTCTCTCTCTCTCTCTCTCTCTCTCTCTCTCTCTCTCTCTCTCTCTCTCTGTGTATATATTATAGACTGTCCTTGCGAAAAAAGAGAGAAAATCAAATATATGTATCTGCTCAATTTTGCAAAGAAAGGAAGGATAAAATAAACAATCTCTTACAGAGGGTGGAGGGGAGTAAGGTTAAAGGAATAGGGAGGACAGTGACACTTTGTAAATAGATCTTTTTGTCTAATCTGAATTTAAAACTGAGAGAAGTCTTGGCTTTCATAAACAAAGCCTTTTTTTCCATAAAAATATGGCTACCTCTATCATATCCTATGTCTTTCATTATTCTCACCTAAAAACAATAGCCCACAAGCAAATAAACAAAACAACCCTGCTGGGAAACATGCTCCTTACACTCTGGCAAAGCTTTTTATAAAAACTATGACTTACCAATAAAGGAATGAAAAAACAACAAAAATCAATACCTTCCTATGTACAAACCCAACCTCCAATTAGATAATGTAATGAAAGAAAGGAACTCATTAACAAAAGCAATAAAAGTAAAATATGTATAAGAATTTAGAAAATACATAAAATCTGTATGAAACAAACACATAAAAAACACTAAAGATGGCCTGAATAAGCAGAAAGATATACTATGTTCCTGAATAGAAAGAGTCATCTTCATTAAAGTCTTATGTATTAATAAAGCTACTTATAAATTTTCTCTAATAAATATAACTGTAATACAAATCATCAATAGGTTTTATTTCTAGAACCTAGACAACTGACTCTGATGTTCAAAGGGAAAAATAGACATGCAAGCATGGTCAGGAAAGCTCGAAAAAAGAGCCATGGGAAGTATGGGGGAGAACAGACCTTATCAGCTATTAAGAAATATTATGTAATCTGAATAATTAAAACCATGACATAGAAATCATCTGTCAAACCAATCCAACAGCACAGAACAGTGATTTCAACAGTGTGCTGCAGGAATTTTTAAAATATGCAATACCAGACTATTTAGTCAGGGGCACAAACCTTTTTTCCCTTAGATTGTCAAATTAAAAAATGACAACCAACAAAACACAACAGTCCTCCTATATGACTGAAACAAAACTATACTATTTTTTGGTGTGCCGCAGAATTTTAGTAATTAGTTTATGTGTGCCATGAGGTGAAAAAAGTTAAAAATCACTGGCCTAGAAGGCCCAGAAGTAAACCCAAATAGAAAAATTTAGTACATAATAAAAACAATCTATCAAACTAGTATTAGAAAAATTGAGTTTTTAATGGTATTAGGACAACAGTGAAGCATTTGGTAAAATAAAATAAAATTGGATGGTACATTTGGATAAACTCCTAATGGATCAAAGATATAAATGTAAAAATAAAACCATAAAAGTAGAAGAAGAAACAATGGGGGAATTCTATCATAAACTTAGAATAGGAAAAGACCTTTCTAAATTTATGACAAAATCTAGAAATTAAATAGAAAAAAACTGAGAAATTAAGTTATATAAAAATAAAAAAACATTTGTATTTAAAAGCTGGGATTTAAATATGACAAAGTAAAAGAAAAGTTACTGAATAATTATTAAAAACTACCCTATTTAACATATTAGCAAAATTACATACTCTAAATTACCTCATAAATAAAGGTAGTCAATCTAGAAACAATAACTTAGAAGGATAAGTTTTTAAACTAGGAAAGATACTTGAAATCAAATCACTAAAGAATAGTCTCCCCAATACAGAAAAAGCTTCTGAAAATATTAAAAAAGACTCCATAGGAAAACTGGCAAAATATATAGACAATTCACAGGAAATGGCCTTCAAATATAGAGATGATCACTTTTATTCTTAAGAGAAATACAACTAAAATAACTATAATGGTACCATGACTCATCAATCTGGTGGGCAAAAACCCACAACTTTGATTACATAAT